AAGATTTGTATACATCCTCTCAAAAATATAATTTTGATTTTTTTTCAATTGTAAATAGACAATATATATATATATATATATATATATATACTATACAAAAAACACAAACATGTGAATATTATTTATCTACACTTTTTCATGGTGTGAATTTTTTTCAGGTCTAATTCGTTGATTAACAAAAAAATATTGGATATATGTAAGTATATCAAGGCTTTCTAATGGTAAACAAAATAAATTGATTGTTATTCATTATTTTCATATTAAATTTTGTTAAACAACTTAATTGTAACTTAATATTAATTATTCTGTATTTGAAGGGATTATGTCCATGCGCCAATTGAAAGAAATTATTGGAAAAGTAAGGGTATGTTCTCTTCAGCTTATTTTCAGTTCAGTTCAGTTCCTAATTTCCTTCTCTCATAAAATATTCAGTTCAGTTCAGCTTCAATCAGTTCATTTCACCTCAGCTCAGTTCAGTAAATCAGAACAGACCCTAAGTCAACTTTAATGTTACAATAGTAGGGAAAAAAAATTAAAGATTGTAAGAGATGTCTCTGATAATTTTTATTTTTTGTGTATTATAGGATTATGGTAGAATATCTATACTACTATTGTAAAAATCATTGTAGTAGTGTATACATATAACTCTATTATTAAGACATATGATAATGAAATTTCATTATAAAGATTAATTTTATTCAATTAGATTAATTTTAGCAATGCAACACTCTTGGTAGTATATATATATATATTTCATTTAACTATTTAAAAATTTATAAAGTCATATCTTTTACTATTACTCCCACCGTCTTTATTTTAACCCTATACTTTTGGGTTTACTTTATTAATTTTTCATTGTATAAAGTCGATACGGAGTAAAAGAATAATGGTGGTCTAAGTTATTGTTTGTGAAAGAAAAATAGTAATTCTATAACTATATATGTATAGTGGAACAACGTGTTTTCGTTATACAAAAGAATCATAGGCTAAAAAAATACGAACAGGATTATGATTTTATTCTAATATCTATCATACTTATAATTTTCCTATAACTAATATTAGTAAATTAAGGTCGCATTATAAGTTGCATAAAAATAAAACAAATTATCCGTTTTCTAACAAGCAAAATAAAAAAAAAATATAGGGTTAAATTAAGAAAAAAAATCTTTTTCATAAGATTTGTGTATAAAAAACCGTGCATCGCACGGGTTTTCATCTAGTAGAATCTAATTTAGTAATTTGTTTATAAGAGTTTGTTTATCTAAGTTATAAACTTGTAGTTTCTCGTTATATAGCCATTATAAATTCATTCATAATAATATAATTTATGAATTTTTTTAATTGCAATGTTTTGAGGATTATTCACATAATAGTTACATTCAAATTATATTCGTAATTTATATTAAAGAAAAAAAATAGTTATGTGAACTTGCTTATTAAAACTTATTAAACCTTGTTATAACTTAATTCAGTTGTAAATTGAATTAGGTACCCCTGGTCAACCTTTATCAAAATTTATTTTTCTTGAACATATATCTAAACTTATTTTTCATAAATTTAGTAAAAAAATAAAATTTATTTTTTAAGCAGAGAATTCCACATCACACAAGTTGAGTTTGTTAAGTTTTTATTAAGTATATGATGTTTTTTTATTATTATTATTATTATTATTATTATTATTATTATTAATTATATATATATATATATATAACAAAAAATATAGATTATTGGTGAACGAAAGAAACACAATTGATCAATCATATAATCAGCTAAAAGAAAAAGAGCGTTTGGTTAAAAACAAAAATTTACTTTTAAGGTATGGGTAAATTTGATCTTTATGTTGATGTTGTCAAAAGTCAAAACTAGTTAGAGAAGAGTTTGTTGATTTTTTTTTTTTTTGGTTGATAAGGAGAATGGCCCTATCAGATTGGAATCTCTCACAGGTTCTCCCAATCCGGATTGACGGGCTAGAAATTTTAAAAGTTGGGGGGAAAGGGTAGGGGAATTCCACCCCCAAAGTGTCTCTAATATGTCAACTTGTACAATCTAAAAGATACGTACTCCAACACTCTATACTATGCCCAATACAGAAAGTCAAACTAGTACAAATTCAACACTAAAATTTTGTAGAATATATTAAGAGCCTAGTGTATAAAAGAAAAATAATCTATTTAGAAGAAGAAAAAAAATGAATGGACAAGAAGCCTTCTCTTTCTTAAATTTCTCTCTTTCTCTCTCTACGCACCACACCATGCTCCATACACTTAGCAATTGCTTGTACTCTATAAATTCCCACCTTTAATTTTACAAGAGCCCACACTCCAACAACAATAATCTTGGCCTCAGCTTACACATTTATTCAAAGTTAATACATTTTCAAATTTTCAATCATATGTATAGCTAACTAATACCTGTATTGATAATTTAATTAGTTAATTATGTACATAGATTCACTAGGTATTGGGTGTTTTATTGGTACTTATTATCCACAAACGATATTGGCATGTATGTCAAATTGACAAACAATAGTATTAACAACCTAAAATACTCCCTCCGTTACATATTACTCGCAACAATTACTAAAAATAGCCGTTACATATTACTCGCAACAAACTTTTTTTTCCTTTTATAGTAAGTTTTTTGTGTGATTTTACAAAATTGCCCTTATTTTTTTTAAACACCCTAATTAAACTAATGATTTTATCTCATTAACTTAAAGATTGACATTAATTAACTTAACCATTTCCACCAAAAAAAAATCCCCTTCCATCTAAATTCATCATCACCTTCATTGGCAACTACCACCACCACTACCACTGATCTCCAGTCTCTCTTCATCAACCCATAAACTTCTCTCTCTTTGTTCATCTCCCCTCAATTCGACCGCAACATTCTATGGAGACCAGCACCGTCGCTGGAAGGCACTGTCGCTGTCCCCTTGCTTATGGCCGCCTCTGTTTTCTCTCTCTTCCTCTTCTTGTTGTTTCATTATTGCCGGTGAAGCACACATCTGAAGGTTTTATGGTCAAATTTAACCATGAAAACTTTGGATCTAGAGTTTTGATGGTTAAATTTGACCAATTAAAGATTTAATTGATGATAGAGAAGGCATTAGTTCTGGGTTCGTGAATTGTGGGTTCCTTGGTTGTGGGTTTTGGGTTTTGGGGTTCTGGGTTCGACTTCTAGGTTTAGGGTTCGTCGGTTGTAATTTGATTGGTTCTGGGTTCGTGGGTTGTGGGTGGTGGTGGGTTGTGGTTGTTCGAGCAGCTGGGTTGTGGTTGTTCGTGCTGCTGGGTTGTGGTGGATTCGGTGTTTCATGTTGCTGGGTGGTTAGTGGGTTCGCGCTGCTAGGTGGTGGAGTTGGGTGGTTTCGTAGTGCTAGATGGTGGTGTTGGGTGGTTTCGTGGTGCTAGGTGGTGGTGGTTCGTGAATTTAAGTTGTTGGGCTGTAAACATTGATTTATTTATTTTATTTATTTATTTATTTATTTTGACTTTGATTAATACTGAAGTGAATGCCCTTATTTTTCATTAATCATGCTTTCAATATTTTGTCTAGGAGTCCGCAATCCCCTAGTTTGTTGCGAGTAATTCGTAACGGAGGGAGTATATGTGTATACTGAACAAAACAAGCTAGTTTGTTACTCCGTAGTGATCAGATAATATAGTGCAATCCCACTAGTGAAAGCTAGGAATAATTTCTTAACCTAATTACTTTTGTCATTTTGTGTAGTACATAGTACATTATATACATGAATTAAAAATTTAGTAATGAAAAATAAAATAAAATAAAATTAAGCCATGAACATTTAGACTTGTCCATGCATCCTTAAAAGTTTGCTAATTTAAGGCCTTTTAATGGTTTAAAATGATTTTCAAAGTTTTTGATATACAAATTGAAGGAAAACTTCTAATAGCAGATTATTAAACCTATTGCGTAACAATAAGTAATCTTATTAAAATCTTCTAATAATTCAGTAAGATAGATGTATTATATAAGACAAACTCTAATAAATGACGGGAACAATTATATCTTAATTCCAAAACACATAGTGTCAAAAATGTAGAACCTCTTAGGCATATCAATTTCTCCAAAAAGGAAATAGAGTAACAAGTAAGTCTAGCTTTAAAGTTTAAACTAATAATTGAGGGTGTCAATAAATAACCTTCAACGTATTTGAGAAAGCTAGCAGCTTTAGGTACTATGAACCCTTTGACAAAAGGACAAGGATGAAAAAAGTGCATTGAATTGGACTCCAAAAAAAAAAAAAAAAAAGGTGCAACTTCATTTTCTGTAAAGCACCATATTACATACGAAGTACATTCAACATACATACCCCCCTACCCCTTAACCAATTATTGACAAGGACAAAATATTGCTCTATCATAGGAGTGACTAATATATCAAAACAAGCTAAATTCCTATTGCAAAATCATTAACCATTCCTCCAACATTTAGCACATACCAGAGAACGAACTAGCATAGAGCCATAGAGTGTGTGCATGTGTGTGTAACATGTATGGTTCGTTATCGTCTTCCAAGTTCTTTTTGTCGTTGTACTTCACACATAAATCAATATAATGAACTTGAAAAAGAACTTGTATAACATATACTAGTATACTGTAGTAAACAACGTACAACACGTACAAATAGCACTTAATATGAGTTATCAACTCTTATGCCGTTCACGTAGTTGGTGTATATTAATTAAAATTAGATCATTACCTCCCCTCCTTCGTAAGCATTGCCCGACATCTTTAAATTAATTAAATTAAATCAATAATACTATACTCGTAAATTTTTCTACTTTAGAGACAAACTAGGATTTTTTTTCCTAGGGGACCAACTAGATTATTATTTAGTAAACCTTTTGTCAAGAAATGAAGTACAATACAATACAATAATATAATGTACAAGTATATAAAATTACGATGAATAAAGTCGGCTTAAACATACCAGAATTCTTAAACAAACACTCATCCCAAAATAACAAAGAGATAAGAAAAACATAATTATTTTTATACATAACATAGTTCTTCGTAACGATTTAATAAAGTACACTATTAAAAAAAAAAAAAGTTTTAAGATCAAGCTTCTCTAATTAAACAAAATATTTACACAAGACAAAACTCATCATCATTAAAAACTAAAAAAGCTAATTAACTAGCACACACTAAACCAAAAAAAAAAAAAAAAAAGCAAAAAGAAAAACTAAACTTATCTTACAACTTTTAGGAAGAACTATCACAAACTCACTTGATGACGATGATGATATGATCATTAGCACATGACATCCTTGAGAAGTTTGTAGCGACGGTGAGCGCTGGGCCGAGGTGACGGTATACCAGAGTTGTTGTTGTTGTTGTTCTTGGGAGTTCCTCTTTCTCCGGCACCACCAGTTTGGTGATCTTGGTGTTGTTTGATTCTTTCGCCCGACGTATACTCGGAGTGAATATGGAGATTACGATGATGGTCCATGGATGATGATGATGACGACGATGATAATGATCTCTTGTAAGATCCACTGTGGTGTTTGTTGGTTGTTGAGGAGTTTCTACCTTCACTTTGACACCAGTCACATATGTCCAATGATTTTGTGATGGATGATGATGACGACGATGGTGATAATAATTCTTGGCTTCCGTAAAAATAGTTGCTACAATACCTATAAAATAATAAAAATTATCATTTAACATGGTATCAGAGCATAAACAATCAAACCTAATACAAACACAAAATATATACAGAATGAGAATAAAGTTTTTGCTTTAAAATCTTAACACGATATCAGAGCCAATAAACAGCACGAATAGATTAGATGGATACGTACAAGTGTTGGAAGCGAAAGCGACAACTGGAGCACTTGAACAGCTTATCAGCGAAGCCGATATCACCACACATGCAGCATACTCTATCTTGATCCGCCATTTTTTTTTGGAGAGAGAAAGAGGTGAATGGTTAAAGAGAGAATGAGTAAGAGAGAGAAAGTGAAGAGAAAAAAATTGGATATGAGTCGGCGTATCGATCTGAGTCAAAGCTTCTAATGTGTATACTTGATATTTATATTAGGAAAAAAAAGGTAGTGTATCTTTTTATTAAATTAAATAATATTTTTATTAAAACATTACTTTATAGTACTATAATAATAATATTTATTTATAAATTTTTATTAGTAGTAATAAGTTGCAGAGGTAGACCACAGGTTGCTTGCAGTCGTTTTCAGTTGGGAGGGTGGGCCCAATTTACAGAGACAGGCAAAGAGTGAAAGAGAATTTAAGATGTGAACCGGAAATTTTTTTTTCATTTTTTTTTTCCATTTTTTTTCGATATTATTTGTTGTTTTGGTAGAACAATTTTATTTGTAGGAATTTTCTTTTTCCCATTTTTAAAGGAGAATTCTGACCATATCTTAATTTTTACGTTTTTTTTTTTCAGTGTAAGACCTTGTTTAAAGGAATGAATGAATCAAATCTAATGCAATATACTCCGTATGAAGATAGTATTAGTATGTCTATTTTGATTTCGAGCTGTAAATGATAAGTTTGGTAAACGAAACCTAATTTGAAAATGTTATATGAAAATGCTTTGTTAGGATAATAAAGAAAAGTAATATGCTGATCAATTATGTAACAAATGAAATCAATAGAGTATCATTAGAATCATTCAAAGTATCAACAAAATAATGTATTTATAGCTACAAATCTCATAAATATTACTCTGTAAATGATTTCAAAAGTATGATGAATTATAAGAAAGGTAATAAAAATTATATTAGTAAATAATAGAAATAAGTGAATATATAATTAACATGCAAATCACGAGATGGTCAACACTAAAAGCACAAACTAACTTTTTTTTTATAAGATAACGTTTCACTATATGAGATTTCACGGTTTTACTAATGCGAGTTTATGATCAACTACGTTCAATTACGTATTATATACGAAGTATAATTTTCTCATCAATTTCTCTTTGTTGTATTATTTCTTGAGTCATGTACTGATGAGGCTCGTGTGAGCTGAGAGGATAGAGAGAGAGGGGGGGAAAGGAGATGTATGCATAGATAGAGAAAATGGATTATTTATCCTAGAAAATAGGTCAAACAAAGAAAAGAACGATTAATTAATCATGAACGTGGATGCCCTAATGTATTATTTAATGATCTAATTATGAAAGAGAGGCTAATTAGGTGGCAGCTAGTGCTATTATTTTGGGGTTCGATTTTTCACGTGGTGTGAGCTTGTGTGGATGGAAGCATTTCCAATGGACATTTACAAGAATGTTTAGGCATCAAATCTTGTGGTTGTGAATTCGCCATTGAAACGGTATTGACCTATTTTACTATGTTTCGTGTATTTTCTCTGTTTGAAAATAATATGTCATAATATTTAAAAAGTTGTCAAATTTTCAAAAATAGTAATGGTAGCTTAGACATTGAAGATTTATCTTTTCAAATGGCTTACCAAGATTGAGTGAGTGATGGATAGAGTATGAGAAAAATTCAACCGCACGCTCATATCTCGAAAAATATGCTCAATTATAAGATATTAAGACCAATTGGCTGTTGGTTTAATGGTGATTGGGGAGGACCACGTATTCGATCTCCCGCAACATGCAACAATCGGGAGGAGATTGGAATCTAACCACCTAAATTTTATCCTCGAATTCGAATTAGCCTAAAGGGTGAAGCGGGTGGAACACAAAAAAAAATTAAGATGTTAAGACAATGTGACGATTATTACTTTCAAAATGTAATTAGTATCACCACAACCTATTATTTACTGGAGAACGCCGCCACTTCTTAACTATCACACCTGATGTTTAACAAGTATGAAAATTAATTCAAACCTAAGTAGATACACGTTCAAAATTATCCACCTCCTAGACAAGCATAGTCCAAAGTAGTTAGCGCTGCCATCATCTAGCCCATATATTTCAATTCATCAGTCCTAAGATCCCATGCATATGCATGACCTCAAATGAACTTTACATTGAAGCAGCCATGCTTTATATCTATGCATGCATGATTGCATGATGAGATTACAAAGTATAAAATACTGCATTAATGTTTAAAAGTAGTAGGTACAATTATATGAGATGATCACAATTCAACTCTAGCTAGTAGCTAGAGATCGATCAAGGTTTATATCCATGAATCTATATTGTTTATCTTTTATTCTCAATCATTCTAGCCATTGATTTTTTCTTCTAAAAATATTTAAAAGCCAAATTCAAAGATTTATACTAACAGTATTATGGTGATTCTACTTTAAACAATCATTCAAAAGTTTTAATAATTACTCGTATGTTATTTTGTAAGTTGAATGTTGTGTACAAGGTTTGTGGTTTGAGCTTAGGTCATGTTATTTTTGTAGTAAACATTTTTATAGGTCGGTATCGAATCACAATACAGGTCAATGGTTAGACTAGTTATTTCGTAGTTTGAGATGTTAAGATTACAATATTACGCTGTAAAATGTGCCCGCATATACCAAATGGTCCGAGACAAATATTTGGAAACAGGAGAAGTAGTTCAATTTCCACCACTTATAATGAATTTGCGTCAGGTCTCAATAACTTTGTTCAATTTCAAATTGGTTCCAAATCGTCCGATTATAAGCCAAATTCAAATCGATTTTGTCAAGGCTACGGAGTATGAATATATGCATATTTAATTATTTATGTGCCAAATATGTAATGAAATTTAAATAAAAAGAAATGACAATATGGGCTACAGTTTTTACCATAAATGGTAAAAATTTTGCATGCAACACTCTCATCACGTCATTTTTCACTCGATGCGACTAGCTTAGGGTTAAAAATCAGGTAGGTGGAACTTCGAAGTTTCCTAGAAGCGGAAGGAGGATTAATACAGTGTTTTAAGTCAACAAAAATGAAAGTTTGGGTCAACTTTGTCCCTTTACTTGTCGTATATATTATCGATCTTCATGGCTAGACTTCAGAACATAGACTTATTGGCTTATTGCTCTTGATTAAGAGTCGAGGAGTTGCCTTGGTGGTAAGGCAACCCATCTCTTAGCTAGGTTAGGCTTTGTTCGCTCTCCCTTATTTATATGGTCTTATCTACGTTTTGATATGAATATTTTAAATTTTATTTGGACTATATTTTTCTGATTCAATTTATATTATCGAACATTATGATAATATCTGATCCAATTTAAGTTTTTCTGGTTTGATTTTAACAAAAGTATTATTAAAGCATAAGGTGGAAAGAGTAAAGTTTCAGTTGACACAAAATAAAGCAACACAGAGAAAATTTACCTCATCTACAAAAATATGACTTGAGTACATCTTATTAATGCTTATATAAACATTTTCTAACTCGTATACGATTTTTAGAAACTATATAAATTTGACTATTAATAGTTTTATGTATACATGAAGATACATAAAGTTTGATATTGGAAAAGCAAGATTAAAGTTTTTCTTATATATCAACAAATATTCATCAATTAATTGGACATATATATTTGCCAATAAAATTTGAAAAAAGAATAAGTATAAATTGTTGGGAGGATACAAGTAGGTTAAGAAGAGTCAAAGTATTGTTAGTAGCATCATCATTTTAGTGTGCTAAAGTTTGGTGAAAAGTTGGTGTAGTGACATAAAAATCATAGGTATGATAATTAATGAATTACATAGTTATATGGATAAGCATGACATGAGAATGGCCAGTTGCTCCCTTTTTTAGCCTTCTCTTATCCAAATACCACGCTCGATCATATGTATTGTCTCTCACCCTTGGGCTTTGAGCCGTTGTTACTACCAAACTATCTTAAAACTATCAATAAAACTTATCTATGAATTATTAATTTTCATATCATTATTAAATTGTAATGTAGTATGATAATAATAATAACTAAAGTATTACACTATAATTTAGGTTGATTGGTTTTATATTTATACATAATCCATGCATGCTCACGTAGTTTTATATATGACTGTACAAAAAAAAACAAAAAAAAAAAAATATGACTCTACAAACATCTACTATAAGCATTATTACTTGACTTATATTGTGTCAATTAGATATTCGATTTGGCGTGTGTATATTGTTTAAGGGTAACTTGCTTTAGGTCAAGTGAAATCATTCACTCTTGAGATTTACTACTATTTGGAATGAATCATCTAAATTATAATTGTTTTTTAGCACGTATATACAATGAGCTGAGCAAACTAAAGACGACCAATGCAAAGTCTTAATCAACGATTTGCACCCTTGATAAAGCGACGACATAATAATACCCTTTACTATTATATACTCTCTAAAGGTTGGATTCCTAGGAAGAGGCTACAACAAAAGGCACAACCTTTCAAATCTAAAACATATGCGTATTCATAACTATGTACATGTCGAACTAAACAAGCAAATTGTCTCCTCAGTTTTCATCAATTCTGCTAAAAAGTAAAAATTAATTAATATGCTTAATTGAACATGACATAAACTCATAGATATACTATATAGTTTGTATATGTGATAAATATAAGTCAGAGACAGAACAACATGATGCTATGGATCTCTGCAGCATGATTATGGGAATTTGTATCTCATATTCCTATCAAAACATATGTTGTGGAAGTAAAATAATAATGCAACAATTAAATCATGCTATTATGATGATTCCAGATCCGAGTTTACAATTAAAGATGCATCGTTATTTGAACATTAATTAAGTCAACAATCATATGGTAATGATGCAAACTGTTCTTAGATCAGGAAGTTTTTCTGACAAATAAATTAAGTTAGATACGATATACAATGAGAATCTTTAATTGTTATTTTGATAAGTTAAGGTACAGAAGTTGTTCTTCCGTTTGGAAGATGATTATAATAATACGATAGTTTAATCAATAAACTGATCTTAGTATAGTAAAAATCAGATGAATAAAATGAATGACTAGATTGATTTAGCATTGAAAAGAGAAAAATGTCTTTTTAATCTACGAATCGAGAACCTAAAGATTGATCTAGACTGGACAAAATTATTAAAATTCAAAATGAACTCTATGATGGCATGCATGTCCA